GAACAGAACAATTGTGTACAGTAAAAGGCAAATAATAAATAATTGTAAAAAAAAATTAAACAAGTTAAAAATTATCAGTCGGTTTGCCGACCAATAAGTCCCATTTTCACAGTATGCTTCGTACGAAGTGCGAAGAAATATCGGTGATTTTGTTTGCATTTTATTGTGATAGAGTTATAATTGTGGGGGAGGTACGAGATGGAGTCGTTCGTTTTACCACGTCTTTATACCAGAGTTTTTAGAAAAAAGGTTTAAAAAGAATAGAATGTTATTTTTCGGATTTTATAATTTTTATTCAAAAAGTAAGCCCTTTGTGGCTGATATCGTCCTTTTCCGCATCTAAGAAATATTAGCATTTGCAAGGTGTAAACAAAATCGTATTATCATTTTTTTCTCTCTGTGGGTTAAATTAATATTTTTGATTTGAATTTTTGATGTTTTTTTTTTTTTGGGGGGGTAGAGGCACCAGAAAAAGGGGAACGACATTGCCCATTTCCGAACTTGATCTAAGTTTGACAAAAATATTACAATGTATCTATCAAGTATGGACGAAATCGAAACCATATGACTGAGGATGCCGTAGATATTTTGTTATTTGAAATCAGTTATAATATACCATTGTTATTTTTATATAAAGATAATAGCTACGGAGATATTCTTCGTCATGAATGTTTTTTTGAATAGGAGATGTTTTAAAACAATTCAATAAAAATGGACCAAAACACGTGGTTAATTTAAATATATTTGGCATTTTTTCTAAATCATGAGTCGCAGATTTTCTATCGAACGTTTATGCAATTCACACTGGACAGATGAGATATATATATCGGACCCACTTTTCAAAATTTCTTTCGCCGCAACATTTTTAATAATAATAATAATTATTGGACCATTTCTGCCAAGTCCCTTTTGGTACCTCTCGCAGTCGACATTATAAAATAACATAAATCTCGTATCAGACGCAAGGTTTTTTAAGTCGCTTCAAACTTTATACATCGTTACTAAGATTCAAGGCGAAGATGGAATTTTACGGTACACTGTGTCTGACGCCTAGTTTCAATGTTTAGAGCCCCCAGACTCATAGCTATGTGGGAGTAATACGGCTGAAAAGTGTTCTTCATCGAATTGATGGTCTTACACCTCATAATCTGTTTGAATAAAATCCACTTCTGGATGTCCAGGCATATCATAGAGATCAAGGGAGTTTCCGACTCAAACCTGAATTTGTTCATTATTATTTGTACTTTTGGGAAAAAACTACTATCACTCCTTATTAGATCTCTTCCTGCCACTACATCCTAAATAAACCCAACATTCAGCAACACATTAGTTTATGATTTATTTTTCTTTTATTATTATTTACTTTGAACAGTTTTGGCATGTTTGTTAGGGATTCCGTAGTATTTTGTTGTTGGAAAATAGTGCGGCTTAATCCCATTATTGTTGTTTTTATAAAAAAAAAACGTTTTTTTATTAGTGGAGAAAGATGGTAATGTTTACCAGGGGATAAGGCAGGGAATACCAAGGTTTCAGAAAAAACACCAATCCTCGTCAGTTCCCTTGTTGTTTGTCTGGGATATTACTTACTTATATTGTACCTAAAAAAGACATTCTGACAATTCTAGAATACTAAAAAACGAAAAATCCCTTTAAAAAATCGGTCGTATTTTAGCGAGAAAGTTATTAAAGGCATGATATCAATTTGGTCCAATTCGGATCTTCTTTCTAAATGGATATTGAGAATTTACTGCTTTACACCACACCACACTCCCGAAATGCTCGCTCGTATTTGAGTAGAGAGTGAAACACGCTTGACACTGAGCGGGAGTGGAGCAAACTCTATTTTTCTGTGTCTCTCAAATTAGAGTATGCTTTTCACATTTTCAAGTGGGAGTAAAATTCGCTTGAAATCGAGAAGATTTTGCTCTTATTGAGTGATCTTTTAGTTTTTGTCATACTGTTATTTTATTTGGACAGTATTCAATTTTTTCAAGGGACCTTATGCCCTTATAAATGAATAAGCCACATGCAAACAACGTTGGCCAGGAAACTATACAGCATGGGATTTTATAACACCTTTTGTTAGTCGCCGCCGTATCTTTAGGATATCTCAATTAAGTTATCAGAAAATTTTAATTATTGGAGGATTGCAATCAAAATTTACAGTTTAGGCTCTAAAAATCGGTTCTAATTATCGCTATACGAAAATTTGACCGTACTCATGGGATCCAACCTTCTATTAAAAAAAAAAACTTCTAAACTGTGTATATATAGACCGATTATGCATAAGGTAAGTTTACTGACGCAAATCTTGTAGGAGAGAGAGAGAGGGAGAGAGGTAAGGGGAATAGAAGTGAGTGGGAAACAACTTCCTCGCATGGAGGTATTTTTATTCTCTCCACCATTCTATGGAGGGTATATTAGCTTTGTCTATATATATTCTGGATCAGCGTAAAATTCTAAAAAAAATTCTAAGACGACTTAGCGATATCCTATCTATATGTTGTAATCCGCTATCTTTCGAACTAATAAGATAAAAGTCTTTAATTTTGCGCACATATGTATTTTGCCAGTATGCAGGTTATGTTCGTAAATCGGCCATGTCGGTCCATATTTTCGCATAACCTCCAAAAAACGGTACCTTCCGATATTCGGTATTTTGAGGTTTTAAGCGACATTATTTACGGGAATTATTTTAAACTTCGTATTTGAAGTTCGCAATTGGTACTACAGCCTATGACCAAAATTATTATATGTAGGTCCACGTCTTCGTATAGCCCCCATATAACAGTACCTCCCGATATTCGGTATTTTGATGATTTTAGCGACATTATTCACCCGAATTGTTTCAAATTTCGTATTCGAAATTTATAATGGGTCCTACAGCCTATGCCTTAAAATTTCGTATGCAGGTTCACGTCTTCGTATATCCCCCCAACAGTACCTCCCGATATTCGGTATTTTGATGATTTTAGCGACATTATACGCCGGAATTGTTTCAAATTTCGTATTTGAAGATCGTAAAGGGGAAAACAGCCTATGACAGAAAATTGATTTTGTAGGTCCACGTCTTCGTATTACCTCCGAATAAAGTTATAACGTTTATTTTTTTTTCGTAATTTTTTGAAAATTTTCAAGTTCCTTCCAAATGGTAGAGGGTATAAAAAGTTCGGCCAGGCTGAACTCAGCTGTTTTGTTACTTGTTTTTGTATGTTTTTTAATACGAAAATATTAACAACCGTAACAGAAAAGGCAATGTTGAAAAACGAAAATGCTTAAAAACAAGAGAACAATAAAAATTGCCGCAAGTATATTCGCCCACTTTAAAATCAATTATATAAAAGATATATACATTGATACATGTGTGTGCCAGGGGTGCCTATATTTTCAATTATATACTCTGGTTTGTATTTTGTAAATCCTCTTCAGATTTAAGAGTATATACCCACTTTTGTGGAGGATATTTTAGGTAGACATACTTCAATAAACTCTCATTGCCCGACACAACTTTAAATTAAATTTTCATTTTATCTTGTCTTTACATGAATAATGAAGTTTTGTTTGAACACACAGACACACATGCATCTGTGTGGATATATATCGTAGTTCCTACGAATATATAGATGTATATACATATATAGATGTGTAAGGATATACCACAACATTTTTTACATTGCCATTTCTGTTTTAATGGATTATTTGCAATTTTTGCCAATTTCCTTTTTTCCTCTGGCTTCGCAATACTGTGTGCCAATTGTCGCCAAGAATAGTGGATACAGACACTCACACACACGCACACACACAGAGAAACACTCTCGTGAGTCTATTGCAAATACCTTCATTGTGTCTCAACAAATGCCTGGTTGGCTGACTGACTCGATGGATGGCTGACTGTGGCTGGCTGGTTGACAAGCAACCATCATTGCCAGCTAAAGAACTGACCAAGTCAAATTCCCACCAGCAGGGGAGCAATGGGGGGATGGAGGATGATCCATCCAAAAATGATTGGGAAACAGGTGTGGTACATGATTTTGCTATTCAATTTCTTTAGCATCGAAAAAGTTTTGCAGCTGAAAAGGATTAGATTGTGTTGCTCCAAAAACAAAAACCAGACTTGGTCCTTTTTGCAGATTTGACTGATGAACGGCCTGAACTGAGCAGTGCTGCCAAGGTGGCGGTGTACAGGGATTCAAACTAGATGTGTGCGATGATTACAACATTGTCGTTGTCGTTGTTGTTCTTGAGTGTATAAGGATTTCCATGATGGGCAAACGTAAGCTTACCCGTGTTCGTGAGAGGAGGGAGACCGTTAGAGGGAGAGAGAGAGTGAGTGATTTTTATCATAATTTATGTAAAATATGTAGATTATCGAATTTAGCACTTGGGGTCTAGTGTCGGCCGGGCCTGTGACAGAATTTTAATTATTATTGCTTTTGTTGTTGGGGGCATTGTGTTTTGTTTTTTATTAATAATGCTGACAAGTAGACAATAACAACAGCCAAAAGAATAAAAAAGAAAAATTATGTTAAATTTTCTTTTGGGTTTGACATTTCCGTTCATGAGGTGGGTACACCATTGGAAAGGTGGGAAGGAGGAGGGAATATATATTTTTTTAATTTACAATTGAATGAAAATCCATACAAATTTTGTATAGCTTTCTGGGGTGTAGATATTTGTGTGTGTGTTTTTTTTAATCCTTAACTTGTTTGAGTATACAGGTATTTTTTGGACGATTTTAGCTGATTGTGTGTGTGTGTGTCTATGTGCGTGTGATGTAAACCTAAAGTGATGAAGGGATTTGGGCAATGTTTTGTGTAAGTGTGTGTGTGTGTGTGGCTCAGTGCTTTTCTCGTTTCAGCGAGCATCTGTGTTATGATGTACCTACACAAAAATGCTCGTGTATCGGCGGTTGCTGTGTGTGTGTATTGGAGAAATTTTAAAATGTTTTTCTTGTTGCTGTTGGTTTTGGGATTTCGGATGTTCTGCTTAAAGTGACTTACCATTTTGGTTAGTTTCAGTATTTGATTCATTTATTTTTGTATCCATTGCGGATGAGTTTTCCTCTCCCACATTATTTTCCGTCATTTTTGCAGGAGATGAAAGGGGGGCAGTAGTTTAATAGGTATTGCACCAACGACAACAACGAAACTGAAATTCAAACGACCGACCAAACCGAGCGAACGACCGACCGACAGAACGAATGTATTGCGGAACGAGGACACACACACGCACGCACTCACTCAAGTAAAGCCAAAGCCAAAGCCGAGTCAGTTGCGCGAGACCTGATTTTCTTTTTGCAAAAATTTTCCGTGTTTCGCCTTTCTTTTTTTTTTGCTTCGTTTCTATTTTCTGGGTTTTATCTTTTCTCACGCCACGTTTTGACAAATGTCTCTGCCGTTTTTGGAAAACTTCCTTCTTCTCGCCTTCTTCGGTTTCACGTCCTGGCCCTTGACTTGTGTTTGACGTTAGACAACGACATACATTTATCTTGGTGTGGCTGCTGCTGCTGTTCCTTTTTCTAAGTGTCAGCTATGGCGATGAAGGCGGCGGGGACAGTGTTAAGGCTCCTGGTCTCAGATCCTCAACATCTTTGCATTTTCCAAATATCTTTGTAGGAGATGTAGGATTTCATCTTTGCAGGTTTTGTTTTTATAAAATTTAAAAGATTTTTTCTTTTTCTTATATTTTTGCGAATTGTGTGCGATTTGGCTTAAGGTTTTAGGCGTTTTTGCTTTTTTCTTTGTGTTTTAGTTTTACCGTGGAAAGGAGGTTACCGAGCTCCCGTTTAGAAAGTAAATTGCTTATGTAATTTTGCTTGGGTTTTCTCAGTTTCTTTTTTTAATTTTGGATTGGTTTTCTTTTTTTTTAAAAAACGTTAACATTAACCAATAAATAAATGCATATTTTTCAAAATCATTTTTTGTCGACTTTTTCTGGCGAATACAAAACTAAGAACAATGTCCGGGGATAAAAAGAACCACAAACTTTTTTTTCAAATTTTTTCTTTTTTGTTTTTCTCAGGGGATTGGGGAAACTTGATATTGTTGTTTGCTGCCCTGCTGGATTGTGTGTGCTTTTCTTATTTTTTTGAAAATGGATTTGAATGATTTGTACAAGTTTTCAGTTTTTTTATACCATTTTTGCGAAAGGCTCAGTTTTGTCGAGTGGCGCTTAATATTAAGAGTCAAATGTTTGTGCTACTTGGTGAAAATTCGAACTAAACTGGCCGAGTTGAGTTTTCCCCGAAAATAACAACGAAAATGGTATCGACTTGGCTGCTGCGTTAGCAAGTGATGTGATGTGAGAGCGTGGTCCATGTCCTGTGCTGGCAAAAGGACCTGCGTAGTAAAGAGCCAGACTGGTAATTTGTGAGCAGTGGCGGCAGCAGCAGCATACCGCATCTGAGAAATCCTTGAAAAGGATGTGTTTAAAAGCTTCAGCAGCCATCAGGCACCAGTATTGCCAAATGCTTGCTCGCAACATATCGAGAGAGGGAGAGCGACAGGAAGAGAGAGCGAAAGAGCGGAAATATGCTGGGTAATCACATGCCAGCCTCCCCTCTAACAGAGAAAAAACGTTGGGTTATTTGCTTTCAAAAACAAACATGATGTTACGGAGGTCAGTCCTGCCATAAATAATATTCCCACCATTCGGCGGAGTTTGTGGGAGAAAGCTTTCGTTTCCACGATTTGTGGGTCACTGGGAAATCCTGTCAACTCACTCTTCTCCGTGTGGAGCTTTTACAATCACAACGTGAGATGCCCGAGAACAGAGATGAATGAGCAAATCTAGGGATTTTTGTTTTCCTTTTTTTGCTTCGGTTTCCAAAAGAAAATCTACCTACCTACCAACCTAACTACCTATGCATGAATAAGCAAAGCTGCCAAATGAAAGCAAAAAGCTTTGGCAGCATAACCACTCCCCAGTACGGAATTATGTAAGTTTTTTCATGTTGACCATTAACGCCATTCAAGCATCCCTAGATTTTTATCAGCCGCCAGCCACAGCAGCAGCTGGCCGACGAAGAGATGATTTGCTCAATAAGAAAATCGAGAGCCTAGTTTTGATGAGGCAAGTCAGCCAGCCAGCCAGCAAAAAAGTATGTGTACATGTAAGCTGGCAATATGTGTGTGTATACGATAAACATTTACACTTACATACAATGTAAATTGTGTGTAAGGATGTGACAAGTGTTGGCTGTGTGTGTGTGTGTTTGTGTCAAATACACACGTTGTTCCATAATAGTGGCAGCAGCCAGTCAGCCAGCCAGCCAGCCAGCTGCAAAAAAAGAACTGAGTCAGGACGAAAAGCTACGACATGCCTACATAAAAACAAGTTGTAAGAAACTGAAAACACAGCATCATTTCGGAGATTCGTATGAGAGGTGAGTGAGTGTGTGTGTGCGTTTGAGGAATTTTGCAAAAACTGAACAGTAGGTCAGTAACACACACAGACACATAGCCATATAGTAGAAGCAGCAGCATTAAGCTAAGCTCTATGTGGAATTATTATAGGTGGTATACCAGGGGTCACACAAACGCCCACACATCCATATTCGCATAATCGCATATTCATGTTGGCACACAGATGTAGGTTAAACGAACAACAGCGTTTTTTATACCCTACACCACAAGGTGGTCAGGGTATTATGTCTTTGTTCATTCGTATGTAACAGACCGAGATAGACTCATATTTCCTTCTGATGATCTGCATAGAATCACATTCTGAGGCGATTTATGCATGTCCGTCCGTCTGTCCATGTATTTCAGCCATATGGCTACAGAGGGTATATATCATCCGATACTGTCAAAACGTGCCTAGACGAAATAACGGTTTTAGATCCTAGGTCTCTTTGGACCAAATCCGCTTCAGAACATTAGAGTTGATCTAGCGATGTCCGTCCGTCCGTCCGACTGGCTGGTGCGCACGATGACTCTCAAAGGGAGTATCCTATTTTGTCCAAACTTGGTACATCGTGATATGTTTGTCAAACATAGATCGAGTTCGGAGATGGACAATATTGGTCGACTCCTTCTGGTACCTCCCCCACAAAAGGTCGAAATTTTCCAAAAATATATTTTTTTCACAGAAAGAGAAACTATAACCCGATTTTGCTTCAACTTTGCAAATCCTAATATTTGCGTCAATGCTGGGTCAGGTGTGAAAATGAACAATATCGGTCCACTCCATCAAGTACCTCCCCCACAAATGGTCAACATTTTAAAGAATTACAACTCTCGTAAAATGTGATATAAGAGTCCGATTGTCTTAAAATTTCACACATCTAATATTTTCATAAACCCAAGATCTGATGTTAAGATGGAATATATAGGTCCACTCCTTCTGGTACCTCTCCCAGCAAAAGCTCGAAATTTTGAATATCCATTAAGCTCATAAAACGTGAAATTAACATCAGATTCAATTTAGACTTGGCACATCTGAATATTTCTATCAACACAGGATCTATTAAAAAAAGGTAGAGATCGCACCATTTCTCCTGCTACCTCCCCCACAAAAAGGGTCAAAATTTTGAATGACCAAAACGTTTATAAAATCCGAAATAAGTATCAGGTTCTCTTTATATTTTACACATCCCATTATTTCCACTAACAAAAGATCCGTTGTGAAGATGGGATATATCGGTCCACTTCTTCTGGCACCTCCCCCACAAAGGCTCAAATTTTTGAATGTTCATGAAGCTCATAAAAAGCGAAATTGACATCCGATTCTATTCAAGACTTGGTGCATCCCAAAATTTCGATTAATACAAAACAGTCCAAACCTAGCACGTCGCAATATTGATATAATATTTATTTAAGTCCGGTACGAAATGGCCAATATAGGCCAATTTCTTCGGAACCAACTGCATAAGGGGTTAAACATTTGAATAATCATAACAGAAGTCAAAATATTTTTAAATAATCGAACATTGGCTCAGGGTATACATCTGTCGGCAAAGCCAACCGAATCTTTCTTACTTGTTTTAATCAAAGTACAGGTCGCATTTCTTCCCCGATCCAGATGAAATTTTGCAAAAATCATTTGTTTGACTCAAGGACGATCCCTATTGAAATTGGAGATAATCGGTCAAAATTTAGATATAGCTCCGATTTATATCTTCGTCCGATTGGCCTTTTATTGTGCACTTAACGTGCAATATTAGGACAAATGGGATGGCATTTGGCACATATGACCAAATTAGGTCTGAAAATAAGTATACTTAATTTGATCGAAATCGGCTGAGATATAGCTATAGCTCCCATATATATTGTTCATCCGATTTGGTATTTAAATCTCCAACTTTCGGAATATGCACTCTACCATAATCATATTTTGTACGAGATATCTCATAGAGCTCAGAAATGCTAAATATAACTACGAGAGCTATAATTACGAGAGCTCTACTAAATATGCATAGTGGTGTAGGGTATCATATAGCAGCCCCGCCCGACTTTTGAGCTTTCCTTACTGTTTTTTTTTTTTTTGTTCTCCATAGCCGTAATATGCACTCCGTAACAACAATATTCGAGGAAATACAGCTCTGCTAAATTTTATCGAGATCGGTTCAGATTTGAATATACCTCCCATACATATCTTCGTCCATACATACACTTCGTAAAAGTGTAATATTGGCCCGAATGGGGTGGAATTTGGCACATATGACCAAATTGAGTCTAGTCTATGTCAAATTTGGTGAAAATCGGTTCAGATATAGCTAAAGCTTCCACATATATTGTTCATCCAATTGCTGAATTGGTCCTGTACAGCCGTAAAATGCACTCGGTATTAGCGATATTGGGGGAAATGAATCAAATCAGCTCAGAAATACCTTTGTCAAATTTTTGTCGAGATCGGTTCAGATTTCGATATAGCTCCCACGTATATCTTTATCTAATTTCAAGTTAATTGTGCACCAAATGAATAATACAAGCCCCAATTAAAAATGTACAAATGCCTCGGCAAATTTAGTAGAAATCGATTCAGAGGAGGATATTCCTCTCATATATAAGTTCCTTTGGACGTATTAATTTGGACTTTAAGTTCGTATGATTTATTTCTCACAAATTCCCCATAAAATCGTTTGTTTGTTATGTGAAGCTCTACTAAATATGCAAAGTGGTGTAGGGTATCATAAAGTCGGCCTCGCTTGATTTTAAGACATTCTTTACAGGTTTTCTTGTAGCTACACACTTTTCTACTCACACAAAATGTAAAAAAAACAAGGAGAAGATATCCACTATTTGGTGGATGTGGATATCACAAAGGATTGATACACAGGTGTTTTAGCTCTCGTTTGGACATCGCTGTGTAATTGTTGCTTACTTACCCGTTTTTGATACTTGGCAAAGGATTAACTTTACATCTATTGTTGTCGTTAATAAATATTGGTATATAAGTGTGTAGGTGTGTGTAAACTTACCGTTATCACTTAGATCGTTTAGTAATTTCCCGGTGCAAGACTCTTCCAGGAGATAGTCCGGCGGAGCTTCACTCTCTTCAGTCTTTGTTACTTTAAATCTATCCGTCATGGTCATGTGTGTTGTTGCGTCTTTGATTTGCACAGCTCTACAAATGAGGGAAAAACGAAGAAGAAGAAGAGAAACAAAAATAAACAACAACATCAAATGTAAACTACAACTACAAAAGCAAATAAATAAATACATGTTCATATGTACGTATGTAAATAGGTAGGTATGTATGTTTTTTTTTTTTTTGTGTGACCGTCTATTTTCACATTTTAAAAATAATTATGATTGAGGGACATTGGATTTGGTTCTCTGTGGTCCATGATGTCGCACAGTTGCCTGTTGGTCTACCACAGAAAAGTGCACAGAATTTTTGTGAGCCTCTTTTTTTCCAACTACACATCTAAATCATCTCACACACTCGCCAATTTGGGGAAAAAATATAAAAAAATCAAAAAACCACAAAAAGCTGAAACTTTTAGCCAATGTCGTCACAACAGCGTTTGCCGGAGATTATGTCAACAAGCAAAAGCGAAAAATTATAAAAATTACATTTTTTTTGACAAGAGCTTGGCTGCAGAATATCTAAAACCGTTGCGGCTTAACTTTTTATGATTTTTATGTTATAAATAAATGTTTTTTGAATTTTTGTAAAATTAGTCATTTAAATTTGTTTCAACCACAAAAGTTTGTCAAAATTCTGTGATTTTGTGTTTTAACATTCCTAATGTTGTTGAAAGCAATCTGAGG